CTCTCCTCTGGGCTACTCTGTCCTGTGACCTCCGGTGGCCCCGTCCTCCCCAATCTTACAGCTCTGTCTCCTCAGCTCAGGGGTCTGACAGGCTCCACTTGTCTCCCCTTCCTGCCCCATGGTGTAGTGAGCTGGAGCCATCCCAGCAGCCATCTTGCTTTTTTCCTATTTCCCAGGAACTTTGTTGCCTGATGGCCAGTATCCTGAAAACCATGGTCTTAGTCCATTGGGGCTGCTGTAATGAAATACCATGGACAGGGTGGCTTATAAATGAGGAATTTCTTTCTCACAGTTCTGGAGGCTAGAAGTCTGAGGCCGGGGTGCCAGTGTGGTTGGGTGAGGGCCCTCTTCCTGGTTCATAGCTTGTCCTTCCTCGCTCTGTCTTCACGCGGTGGAAGGGGCACCACCCTCATGACCGAGTCACCTCCCAAAGGCCTCACCTTCTAATACCATCACATTGGGCATTGAGGATTTCAAACTATGGATTTTGGGGGAACACAGGCATGCAGGGGGCCACAAACATTCAGACCACAGCAACCATTATTTCAAAGTGGCCAACTTTCCCAGAAGTTTTTCTGGGAAAGTTAAGGCTTAAGCCTAGAAGGTGAAGGAGAGGTAGGAGTCGTCCAGGTGAAAAGGAAGGGAAGAAGTTTTAGGAATAGGTACAACGCATGCTCAGGCACGGAGGTAGGGCGTGGGTCCTTTTTCCTATAAGCTTAGTGTCCGTGGCATTGGGCCATGGGGCCACCCACCTGTGTTTTATTGTGGGTATGTGTCTGGCTCCATCCCGCATGAGTCCCTGAAGTCTGGGAAATCTCTTTCCAGCATAAGTCAGTCAGACTTTTCAGCCTGGGCATGTTTGTGTGGGGTCTTGGTCAGGGCTGTGGAGCGTATATTCCCTTGATGTTTCTCGTGAGACTCGCCTTCTATACCTTTTACAATTTACCTGGAGGCAGATGATATTGCTTTCAGTGATTTGGAGTCCCCTCTCCCCCCCCACCCCTTCATTAAGAAATAGTCAAAATTTATCCTGGGGCTATGCTTGGTCCCTCTAAAGACATACCTTAGGTGCCTACTCCTCTTAGGTGTTTCTCTACCTGAGCTCTACCAGATCCACTGCCAAGGTGAGGGTCAAGAACTGTGTGGAAGTTCTCAGCTAACCTTCTGCGAGAACAAAGCCCTGAGACAGCTGCTGGGTGATTAATCTGTACCAGTTGAATACAGGCATTCCTGACCTCTGCCCAGGTACATTTGTAGGTGGTAAGGACAGGAAGGGAGCCAGAGACTTTGGGCTTTTGGCTTTATTCTCCAGTCTGGTTTATTTCTACCAGGCCTGTACCTTATGGCTGTTCCGTCCCCAGCTTGGGCTCCTTCAGCAGCAGCAACTGCCATCATCAGTGCTGGTTTCCCCCAAATTTATCATTCATTCATTCATTCATTCATTCAAAGGGAAAAGTTTGAACAGTATCCTGCCTTCATGGAGATCATGGTTCAGTAGGGTAGCCAGTCTTTAATCCAATAATTTCTCGAATAAATGTGGAATTATAACTGCAGTAAGTGCTATGAAGGAGAGGAATTTGGGCCCATGAAATACTGTGAAGGTGGGACTTGACCTTGTCTGGAAGCCAGGAAAGACTTTCCCTAGGGAGTGATGATTGAGGGAGGCATCAAGTGTGAACAGAGTAGGGGTGGGGGCAGGGAGGAGATGAAGCGTGTCAAGTGCTCAGCATGTTGGGAAAACTGCAAGAGGGCCAGTGGTTGGGTGCCATGAGCAAGAGACTATGGGGACAGAGAAACATGGAGACTGTTACAGGGTGTGTGTGAAAACCTTTGTGTGAAGACATGGGCTATGTTAAGAACCTTGCTCTTTATCATTAGAACAATGTAACTGTTGAAGGCTTTTTTACAGGGAGACGATATCAGATTCTTGCTTCAGAAATATCACTCTGGCTCCAGTGTGGAGAGTGAATTAGAGGTGGACAAGAGTAAGGTCGCCAGGTAAAATACAGGATGCCTAGTTAAACTGAGATTTCAGATAAACGATGAATACTTTTTTAGTCTAAGTGTGTCCCAAATACTGCATGGGACCATACTTACGCTAAAAAATGGTTCACTGTTTATCTGAAATTCAAGTTTAACTGGACATCTTGAATTTTTCTTTGGTAAACTTGGTAACTCTAAGCAGAAGATATGGGGAAACCAGTTACTGTAGTAGTTGAAGGCTTTCCAGACGAAGAAAGCAGAGGTGGATGTGGAGAGAAGTAGACAAAGAAGAAGTACCCTGGTGGGTCCAAGTCTGTCATTCCAAGGCATCTGGAAGACAGAGTCCATCAGCTTCCCTCCTGTTCTGAAACTTCAATTTCCATGCACTTGCCATTGAAAGACACATGGTGATGGGTATAATGAGCATACTGCAGCCTCAGTGCAGGGCACGTGCCTGGTCAGCACCTGCCCTCTGGGATGACCTGTGAGATGTGTTCTGGGAACCCATGAGGGGGTCGTCTTTCTGCCCCCCATCCCTCAAGGCCCAAGGATTCCTGAGGGGTAAACCCTTTGCATTAGAGTGACCAGTGTGCGTGAAGGAGAGGTTGGGCAGGATGGTCAGGAACTTAATGACAATAGAGGCATTATTGTAAGTTGCACACTGTTTTCCCCCCATGATAACTCATGCTTTAGCAAATGAAGCGGTAGGGTAGAGCTGTCAAGAGCACAGGCTTTGCCAGGGGGTTCAGATGCTCCGGCAGTGCAGTTCCTAGCTGGTTTACACTATGTGCTGCAGAAACCGGGCCATTTACACCCTTCTTCAGTGCAGCTTGAACTTTTCTACCTTTTTGTTTGCCTAGAATGTCTTTTCCTGCATCTCCTCCAGCCTTATTCATTCAAACTATTTATAAGGTAACGTTAATAAAGAGGTATGATCAAACAAGATAATGCATGTATAGAAAATAAAATAAATGCCCGTCACTAGGGAAATGACTCAACCCATTAACATTCACATCTGCTGTGTAATATTATGCATTCCTTAAGGTAGTTGTATGTGAACTGACCTGGAAAGATAATATATCTGTGCTATATTGCTAAGTGAAACAGGCAAATGGTAGAACAATACAGGAAATATGATCATAGTTGTGTTTAGAAAAGAATGTGTGTGGAAAGTGGGATGAAACGTACTTCTAATTGTTAGTAGAGATTTCCTCTGGAAAGGAGGGTGGGATTGGGTTGGAAGTAAAAGGAGCTGGTCACACTTAGTTAACATACTTTTGTGGTTTTGGTTTGTTTGTTTACTAGAATGGTGTTAATTTTGGAGTTGAAATAAAATCAAAATGCATCAAAAATTTTGTTAGAATAAATAAACCGCGGTTATGTTTCAGTTGTTAGATTGGGGATGTTCTTCCCCTCCCTCAACTTACTATATTGTTGAAGAACAAAATGATAACAAAAGAAAGTTACCTTTCTGTGAAAGCCCAACAGAAATGCTACTCCCTGGATGAAACTTTTTTCTGATTCATCAACTGGATGCCCTGTCTCCTTTTTTTTTGAACCCCCAAATACTTTGTGTGACTTTTGTGGCATTTATCTCTGTCTCTCTTGTATTTCATACCTGTTTTACTGCCTCTCTAGATTTAAGCCCCCGGAGGGATATCGTGATAGAGAAGAAAATCGGCTTTCAAGCTAGAAGATCTGGCTGTTGGCTCTTGTTCTGGTCTCCTTTTGCAGCATGACAAATTAGCCCACACTTAGCAGCTGAGAACACAAGTCACTTTTTTCTTTCTGATGAGTTTTTGGTCAGAAACTTGAACAGAGCTGGGCTGGGGGATTCTTCTGTTCCATGGAGTATCGAGTTGGGTCACTCAGGGGAATTTAGCTGGGGTTTGAGCTGGGCAGGAGGGTCCAAGAAGACTTCCCTCATAGGCCTGATGCATGGCCGGGCAGCTGAAAGGCCTGGCTCAGCCTAAGTCCTTTGTCTTTCGGACTCCTCTAACCTCCCCATTGACTTCCTCCTAGAGGCACCGGGCTTCCAGAGACCAAGGCAGACCAAAGCAGAACTGCCCACCTTCTTAAGGATGTAGCTAGCATAGTGTCCCTTCTCTGTACTGGTTAAGCAGCTACAGAGCTAACTCAGATTTAAGGGGGTGGGAACAGAACAGCACCTCTTAAGAGGAAAATCTGTGTATAAAATTTGTGGCCATCTTTAATCCACCATGGCTTTGCTATGAGAAGTACAACCTCCATGTCTCAAAGACTACATCTATAAACTAGGAAGACCAAGAGCTACAGTGTCTGCAAAAGCACCCTGTGTATTATGAAAAGCTCTATGTACTATAAATGTCAATAATTATCTTGGTACTAACTCTATGCCTTACTCAGGGCAGGTACTCCTTAGTTTTAATACTTTGAAGGCAGACTCATTTATCAGATATTTCCTAGGAGGAACACACAAAGAAAGGGATGTGGGTGATCACATAGGGGCATGGCGTAGCCGTGGAGTGCAGACTTCGATTCGGTTGAGGAGTTAGAATCACGCTGTCACTCAGTTACTATCTGTGTGACCTTTCTTGATGGCATCACACCTTTCTGAGCCTTAATTTACTCATCGTAGCATGAGAGTAGTAGTGCTTGCTTAGCTGGTTTGCTGTGTGCGTTGGAGCTAATTTGTCTAGAGCACTTAGTATGGCGACTCACGTAGTAGGTCTTCTGTTTCTCTTCAGATGAGGTAGTGAGGTCATGTAGCGAATTTGGCCTCCTCACTTCTTTCTCTGCACCGGTTACCTCCATTCACACAGAGGACCGAGAGGAGGTCCGGAGCCCACGCCCTTGTGAAAGCAGCGGCAGGGGGGGGGGGGGGGAGGCCTCTGCTTGCTTCTGCCAGTCTCCTCCTCTTTCCAGAGTGTCCCCCACTGGGGGTTCGGTGCCCTGTGCTGCCGTGGTTGTGAGTGAGTCACTCTTCTCTCTGTTGGATGTGGCCTCCTTTTTTAGGCCTGTGGCTTTGCCTTCCCTAGATGTACGAGATCAAATCAGAAGGCAGCATTGCAAAGAAGTTCAATGAACTTCTGCAGACACTGAGCTCGCCCCTGAAACCCAGAGTTCCGGAGCACAGTAACAACAAGATGAAAAACCTCTCCTACCCGTTCTCCAGGGAGAAAATGTACCTGTGAGTATGGACGCTGGGGGGTAGGGATGTGGGCGGGGATGGGAGGGGAAGTCAAACAGCTCCCACAGTGAGAGCCCCAGGGCCTGGGAGATAGGGGAGGGGGCATGCTCTCACAGCCAAGAGTTCCCTGGATCTGCTTCCTGAATCCCCTTCCCTAAGTGACACTATCCCAAAGAGCTCCCCCAAATTTGCCCAGTGGCTTGTAGGGACACCTGCCATTTCAGTCCTTTGGCACGATGGATGGCAAATCATGGAGCACGCAGCCATAAACCTTAGGACTCTATGAGAAAATGGTCGGATACCAGTTTCCCTTCTGTGGGGCAACTGTTCTGCCCAGTTCCTAGTCTAATAGGACTCCAACATATTGTCATCAGCCAGAGAGAAGGAGGATAAAGCTTCAGGAGTTTTGTGTCCCCAGCTGCCTCCTCGTGTACTCTCCTCAGATGCCAACGGCAGGTCCAGGTTGTTCCCTGTACCTGTGACTGGCTGGCTGTAGTCCAGAGGTTTCCACGACCTCCTCTTTGGGTTTGATTAATTTGCTAGAGAAGCTCTCAGAACTCAGAAAACCGGTTTACTCACTAGTTTCCTGATTTATTACAAAGGATACAAAGCAACAGCCTGGTGAAGAGATGCAGAAAGGGAGGTTCTGAATGAGAGTGCTTGTGTCCTTGTGGAACGTGGGGCCCAACATGGTGGCACATGGGAATGTTCTGGTTCCCCAACCTGGAAACTCTCCAAATCCTTTCTTTTGGGTTTTTATAGAGGCTTTGTTATGTAGGCTTGGTTGATTAAATCATGGGCCATTGGAGATTGATTCAACCTCCAGCCCCTGTCCTCTCCCCAGAAATCAGGGGTGGGGCTGAAAATTCCAACCCTCTATTCTTGGTTGGTTCCCCTGGCAACCAGCTGCTCCTCTCTCCATCTTTAGGAGATTTCCAAAAGTCACCTCCCTGACATAAGCCCAGTTGTGGTGGAAAGGGACTTGTGATGCATAACAAGACACCCATCTCACCTTTGTGGCTCTGAAGCGATTTCAGGAACTGAGGCAGGAGACCAAATATTATGACAAAAGATGCTCCCATTGCTCTTGTTGCTCAGGAAATTCCAAGGGTTTGGGGAGTTGTGAGTCAGGAGCCTGGGATGAAGACCAAAAGATATATTTATTATAAGTCACAATATCACCTCCCCTCATGAGGTGACCATTCAGATAGAACTGTCTGTCTTTTAGAGGAAGCCAAGGCCTGGGGGCTGTTCGAGGTCACACAGCATGAAGTGGCTGAACTGGGACTGGCACGTTGACCCCCTGGCCTGCTCTTCTTTTTGTGCTCTGTGCTTCTTCCATGCTTCCCCTTCCCTGGGCCTGCCTTCATGCCAGTGCTGGTATCTGCGCTGCCCCACGCATGTGTCTCCCATTCATTTGGTGCCTGGGACCCTTCAAATCCAGTTCCTAAACACCTCCATCTGGAAGAATCTTCTGTTCTTCCTACCCCAAAGATGCTCTCCATCCTCTGAGTTTTCCTAGCAGTGGTCTACAGACTACCATGCTCTGCTCTTCATCTTTTGCTAGAAGACACCCCCCCCCAATGTGATTGGGCTCCAGGGAGGGGGAGGGGGGCTGGGGGCATGTTCCAGGCATCTGGGGCCTCAGGGCTTGGAGCACAGTCAGCTCTACGCAAGTGTTCTTTTTAGTGAAAGGTCACAGTTTGAAGTTTAGAACAGACACAGGCATAATTAGGAGTTTGGTAGCTAATTGATGGGACAATAGTGACAACATTAAATGAAAGTTCGAAAAACAAAGAGTTACCATCCCAGCACCTGGAAACTTTACTCTTTTGGGTGGTGGTTGTATTTTTTACTGTCTTTGTTCGTGCATAGGAATCCTTTCTACATACTTTTATGTGTAAAACATCTCATAGTATAATATTTTGCATCACAGTCTAGAATTTCCTATTTATGAATTTCTCCTAATGATAATTTTCAATGACTGCATGATCATCCATCTTACCGATTTTGGAATTACAGTTTATGTCCATAATCCTTATTATAAGTGACTTTGTAATGAACATTTTTATGTATGGAGCTTCTTTCTTCTATTGAACTTATATTTCCTAGGATACATTTCTGTGACAAGCTCTCAGAATTACTGGGTCAAGAAAAATGATGAACACTGTGTGCGTGAGCATGTGCGAGTATGTGCGTCTTACACATCTTGCTGTGTTGCCTTCTGAAGATTTGCTCTGGGCCTGGGGTGACAGTGGTCTCAGGACCAAGGTCATGAAATGAGTCGACCTTCTGTTTTCTTGGTGTCTCCAGGTACAACATCCAGGACAAGGACACCTTCTTTGATAATGCCACCCGTAGCCGCATTGTAAGTATGCAGGTCAACCGGGGGTGGCAGGCTGTGGAAGTGAGGGGAAGGCTGAGTACCCAGTGTGGCAGGAGTTCTCCTGCTCTCCCTGCTACCTCCTGGTGTCATTTGCTTGGGGTTGCCTAGCAACCGAGAGGCATGTACAGGAGCTTCTCCATCTTCCTTGCAAAGGGCATAGCAAATAACTACCCTCACTTACAGGTTGAGAGAAGGGCCTTCTCTTTAGGATCTCCACCAGGGCCCGTCTTGGAATCACAAAAACAGGAAATGTGACAGCTGGTGGGGGATTTCAGCTAATCAGGCGATCCCCCCACCCTTGCTTTACAGTTGGGGAAACTGAGGCTCTGAGAAGCAATGGACTAAAAAACATTCATACAGATCATTAGTGTCTGAACGAGGACCCATTGCTGGGCTACTGTGTTTCTTTTCCCCTCAAGGAGTCTTGTGCATCTGTATCCCAGGGAATGCTGGAACTAGCCAGTTTGTCCAAGAATAAAATTACCAGCCCATTCAGTAGAAAGCCAAAATTCATGACTCTAGCTGTTCTACTATTTTTTTTTTTTTGGCCTTTTGAAATCAAGGTTTTGAATTTTGCAGGATGATTGATTCTAATGAAAATCTGTATATGGCCTGTGCCCTTGTGGCCCCTGTCTGAGCTGTGGCCTGTCTCCCTTCACTGATCCCTTTATTCTCTCTGCCTAGAGAGCACTCAGCCTAAGGACAGAGGAGAAAAAGGGGGGCCCAGAAAATGCTGCACACTTACTCATGCCACAGTGGGAACATGGCAGTGTGTTTCCATTGATTCCTAGGGAAGAACTTAAGTTTCCACAGAGGAGGAGTGAGGATTAGGTATCTAGAAGGACTTCCAAGTCAGAAGAGTGATAAGAAGAATAAAGGCCAGGTGATTAGAGGAAGCTACAGAACAATTGCAGGGTACATTGAGTACATGGCCTTCACTCTTTGCTTGCAGGTTGGGCAAGGAAACACCTCAGGTCCCTTAGGCTTGTGTTTAGGAAGGTTTAAAATGGGCACATCATTTCTTTTATGACCCTATGGAAAAAGGCATCAACTTCTCATTTTATTTGGCTGATGCTATTACAAGCCATTTAAATCTCCCTGTAGCTTGGGTCTCATGTCTATCGGGGAGTTACAGGGTGTTGTGGAGATTACCAAATAATTGGAAAGTACTTGTAAAATAGTATAATGCCATATAAACGCTGTTCCTAATTATTATTGCTGTTGAATTACTGCACAGTATTATAAGTGAATTAAATGTTCTTGGGCCCGATACTGCTGGAAGTTATTTCCCACTCCCTCTAGGTCTGTGGCTGGAAGATCAGAGTGTGAATGATGATGGAGGAACACACTTCTCTCATTCAGCTCTTGTTCTAGAAGCTTTTCCCTTTCTGCAGTCCACCCCAGCTAGTGAGAAGGGGCAGAAAAGAGCCTTAGAATTTTGTCTTTGGTGTCTACTCTGCCCCGGACTTCTGTTTGAGGACCGTGTTCACATCTGTAAACACCATCCCCGTGCCCCTTCCTTGGGGGTGTCTAAGCACCCCAGCTATTTGTCCCAGAGCAGACTGCCTTGCTGGGCATCTCTTTATAGCCTGGCACAGGCTTGGGACCCGTTGGAGGGCACTAGCGGGTCAGCAGGTTTACCTGTGTCCCTGTCTCCTCAGCAGGGCGGACTCAGCAGCCCTCCTCACAGGTGAGAGAGAGTCCCCTGCAAGCCCCACGTCCAGGGCTTTGTCGGCTGGTTTAGGCATGCAGCGGCCCTTGAGCTGGCAGCCTGCCCTGTGCCCCGGAAGCGCTCCGAGCCACGGAGTCTTGAAGTGTCTGACTGGGGAGGCAAGATGAGGACCCAGGGAAAAACCAGAGAAATAGTACTAACAATGAGTAAGGTGTAGGTGGCCCTTTTTTAGTTTACAAAGCACGTTCATGGTTTCTTGAAGCAGCTCTGTGAGTCAGCTCCATTACAGAGAAGGCCGTGGACCATCAGGGTCCAAGGAGAGCTTGCTCAGGACCCCTTGGCTAGGAGCCAGCACTGGAAGCCGAGTAGGTGGTCCCCTTGTCCTGTGCTTTCCCCAGTGTGGCACGTCTCAGGGCTGGTGGAAAGGAGAGTCTCCTCTTCCTCTTCCCAGACAGTCTGGCCCAGGCACTTGCTCCCTAGCCCTCCAGAGGCATGTGGGTCTGGGCTCCCTGCTGTGTTTTCCTTACCTCCTGTAACTGCAGTCAATGTATAGCCTTTCTTTATTTTTTCAGGGGGGAGTATGTGTGAGGGGCTTAGATTCTTTGTTTCCTCAAAGCACTCAAGTTTGAATGGGTTTGACAGTCTGAGCATGAGCTTGGCACAGGCTTGGCTTCCCCCTCCCTGGAAGAGGGTCCAGCTGCCTGGTCCACCGCCCGCCCCCTCGTGTGGTGACACACATGGTCATGGTGCTCACAGCCCTGCTGTTGTCTGTTTTAGGTGCACGAGATCCTGAAGCGCACAGCTTGTTCTCGAGCCAACAACACCATGGGTAAGGACCCCCTCCCCTGCCCCTGGGCCTGCTGGTGCTGATGGCCTGCCCAGGGGGCCAGAGCTCTCCTTTCAGCGGCTCCCTGTGGGGGGCGGTGTCGGGCAGCAGAGAACAAAACAAATGCCCCCCCCCCCCCCAGAGGAGGGGAGGCTGCTTTCACTCAGGGCCACAAGTCCTGCTTGCTCTCCAGGAGCAGGGCCCCATCTTTTGGGGGCGGGGTGCTCCTCATGTTGTGGTAACTTCTCCCAGACCTTCACCCCTGTCTCCACGGTCTCTGAAAGTTTTTAATAATCACCCAAACGTGGCAGGTGTTGTTTATTTACTTATTTCCTTTTTAAGAAGAAAGGCACCTCAGAGGCCCTTTAGTGCAGGCTCCTCCTTTATGTTTGAAGGAGCTGGACTCCCACCGGGTGAGTGACTTGTCCGAGGCCACACGTTAGTCCAAACGTGCAGCTCCTGAGTTCAGCATTCTTGTCACAGCAATGTGGCTGAATCTGTTCCCCTGGCGGTTTGTTTTTGAAATTTGAGGATATTAGTCTTTGCAGCAGGAATGTCAGCATTTGGGGGCCCAGAGGGCAGGCCAACTGATGTTGGTGGACTTTGCAGAAAACACACATAATGGCCGAGGTAAACATGGGAGCTTATAAGCACAAGCACATGGCCTTTCCACAGGAATCAGTCCATAGGCTGAGTGCTTTCTAAAGGTGCTACCATCACTCAGAAAGGCTTTTGAAACCTTTGAGAGAAATTCCTTCAGAATACACTCTGGGGAGGCAAATCTTTGGCTTTTGGGGCAGCTTTGAGTTACAAAGGATCCAAAGTCATTGAGAGGCAAGTCTAGTGAATTATGTAGTCACTCAAGCCAAAGAATAATAATAGTGCTAATGATAATAATGGCTAATATTGGAGATTTTTGGGGGGGGGACGACTCATAAGCTGCCTCAGTACCAAGATAATGGTACTGAAGTAGGAAGCAGAACGGGTTTTACATAGTGATAGTGCTTTTAGTGTAGCCGAGAACTTCTCAAGGGGGCGATATATGTATGACTGTTTGCTTTCATGTATTCATCTTGCTACAGAATTACAAGTAACACTCCAATTTTTAAAAAGTCAAGTCTTCTATGTGATGTTATTTGTCTGGACCATGGTACTAATGAGGCTAGGACATAAATGAGGTAGGTAATTAGTTAGCCCAGCTCGATTCCATGAAACAGACTGACGCCCTCCCTTGGAGCAGCCATTTGTCCTTCGTTGCAAGAACAACGAGAGGAGTCAAGAGATCTTAGAATGTATTTTGTATTTTCTCATGGCTTCTATCAGAATTCTTGAATTTGCCTCACTTCTTGACCAGTTCACGCCTCAGTTCCATTAATCTGCCTTTTATCATGTCACATCATCCCCAATTGGACCAAACCTGCTCCCTCAGATGTCATAGGTGACTTCCTACTTTCCACATTTTGTGGCCTTTTTCTTAGTCTTCATCTTTCGTAACCTCCTACATCTTTCCAAACCTTCTTTACTAACCTCCAACTTCTGAGAGTTGCTATCCAGGAAGGTACTACTGCTCTACTAATCTGTTGCTGATCTGTTTCTGCCTCATGGACCAGACTTTCTTTGGTTCTTTTTCCTTCTCCTAGATTTTAGATGTTTTCTTCTCCATATTCCCATGGCCTCCTTGCTTTCTTTCTGTACAGATGACTAGCAACCATGTATTCCTTTTTTTTTTAAAGATTTATTTATTTATTTGAGAGAGAGAGAGAATGAGAGAGTATGCATGGTGGGGGAGGGGCAGAGGGAGAGGGAGAGAGAGAATCTAGCTGCCAGCTTGATCCCACAACTCTGAGATCATGACCTGAGCTGAAACCAAGAGTAGAGCACTTAACTGAGTGAGCCACCCAGGCACCCCTGACAACCATATATTTCTATTTCCCCCCCTTCTCACCAGTTCCAGCCTAACATTTCCATCTGCCAGATGGATACTTCCATGAGATGTTCATCAGAACCTTAAAATCAATATATCAAGTGTCGATTTCTACTTGATTCCCTCTCTTTCCCACTTCTCTTCCTGTTGACCTGACCACGGTCTTCTCTGTTTTTACTCACACAGTTCCCCTCACCTGAATGTCCTCCCCCACCTCCCCCGTGCCCCTCCCCAGACCAGACATGGCTGTCTCACAGGTTCTCCCAATGCCCTCTCCTTGGCTCTCCCACCAAACTCAGTCTTTTTCTTACTGATTGCTATGTCCATGGCTTAGACTCCCAAAAAGTCCTTAGGTGTGTCTGAGTCATCTTTGATACCCCAGTGCACCTAGCTGTCTGCCTTGCACATTCTACTCCATCAGTTTGGTTCAGTGAATTAATTAAATATGCCTAGCCTGTTAGCCCACAGCAGTTGCTGGTAATTGTGTCCATGGACAAATGGCTTAACCTTTCTGCAACTTAGTTTCCTTTGATGTCAAGTGGGGATAGTAACATCTATCTTGCAGAGTTTTTGAGAAGATTAAGTACAGAACTGTTAGTTTGTTTTGTAAACTGGAAGATCCTTAAAAACTGAAGCTTATTTTCAGAGACAGTCTCTGGGTTGTTGAAAGACCATTAGGGACCCTCTGCTTTAACACTGAAGGTTTTTTTTTTTTTCCTTTGAGGATCTGAATTTTTTGGTGATGTCTCAAATCAAACATCTTAAGAATTTTGTTGCTGTTGAGTAACTTTCAGAAATTTCTTCCTTTTTTTGACATTCAGAAAACATTTATTGAGCACCTTCTATGTATCAAATGATGTTATAGAAACAGAGAGATGCCAAAAAGAATTTGACCTAATTTCTAGCCTTGAGGGACTCTTAGTCTTGCCATGCAGACAGACATGTAAACAAATAATTATGAGATAATCTGCTAGGTACAACTACAGAGACATGTCCAGAGTGCAGAGGGACCACAGAGGTGGAAGTAATTAACTTCTATGTATGTGTCTGAGTATCAAGATAAATGATCTGATATTCACTTTGTAGCTTAGAGGAAAGTTGGCATGTCGGTAATTCTACAAATGGGGACAGAGAGGACACGTGACTTGTCCAAGGTCACATACTGAATCACTGTCAGAATTGGGTCTAGAACTTGGGTTTCTTTGCTTCAAATCCTATTTCCACTCCCTTTGGGATGCTGTGAACTAGGGGTGGAATTAGGTTGAGTCTTGAAAGTCTATTACTATAGAAGCAATAGTGATCTGGCCACCACTTTGTAGGCTCTTGAATTGTAAGGGAGAGCCTGCCTTCTTTTGACATATACTGAACCTGAAGTCCTAAACACCAAGGTAGGATCTTGGCAGGGACCTTGGCGGGGAAACATGGAGAAATGAGCTCAAGTTCTGTCTCCATTAAATTCAGTTAGATTTTAGTAGGCTGTGTTGTGTCCATTAGCCTCAGTTTTCCTGCACTTATAAAATGATGAAAAAAATGAAGGAAAACTGAGGCTAACACATCATAAAGCCTCTTCCTTAGTGACATTCTAATTTAAGTTAAACCTTAAGTATGCAACTCACTGTACAATAAATTTTAAAACCCTGTTGTTGATTTTTGTGCTTTAAGCATGGGCATTATATAAATCAAGTGATGACTGATTTTTTTCTCTAGATTCTCAGAACTAAATATCTGACTACACACTTGACATCATGCAGATGCTCTGAAAGAACCTCAACCACAATGTAAACAAAAAATACAGATTTCCTTTTGGGGGGACAGCCCAGCTCCCATCCATTACCCCAAATTTCAGTGAACTCTGGTTCTTAATTTCTCAAACTAAAAACTAGAACAAAGTGCTGTTGGGTTGATCTTGTGAACATGTGTGAAATAGGTACAATTTGACTGTTTACAGCCATTATCCTGCTCTACATCAACTGCATTTTGTTTTTTAACCGAATTTACTATCCCAACCACTAAGAGGTCTTCTTAGCCCCAGTTTTGTCCATTTTTAACCCATTCCATAGCATACAGCCTGTATGAGCTTTTTAAAATACAAATCTGATCATTTCATTGGTTTGCTTGAAATGGTAAAATAGATCCACATTTTGCTTAGATAAAATCGAAACCCCTTAATAGTTAACATATTGTTATGGACTTGATGTTTGTGTCTCCCCCCCCCGCCCCCCCAGATCCAGACACTGAAGCCCTAACCCCTACCCAAAAGTCTGTTAGTTCAACAGTAGCTACCAATGAATTACTGGGTTTGTAACAATGGACATATGACTGAAATTCTCTGATTCTCAGTGGAAAAGAACCCCGAGTCTGATTTTCAAGTTGTTTGTCTTTTGTCTAGGAAAGTCAAGCTCCCCCTAAGCTCTTTGGCCAATGTACCATCTTACTTAGAAGATCAGAAAAACTGAGGAATATAATGACACTCAGAGGCCTCAAGATAATATGGCCCTTTGAGCCATGGGGTAAATTTTGATTTTATTGCCCTTCTCTCTGGTTTTATAGAGAAACAGAAATGGCTAGAATTGACTTAGATTCCTCCAGAGGATTGTTGCCTCATAAAAAGAAGAGAAAAAGGGAGAACAGTTCTTGGCATTGTTTTCTAAGGTATTTTTGTTGATCCTTCAGCCCGGGAATTACCTTTAATATGGTCATTACTGTGTCTAGTTTACAAAGCTTTATTCCCTTTGCCAGTGTACCCAGTTACGAAGGGAATTTTAGAAGATAGCGAAAATAAGAAAGATTAGAATTGAAGATGGAAAATATATGAAAGATAATAATAATTCTCATTTATTATATATTGAATGAGAGAAACACTCTCATTTATTCAGTATTATCACTTTTTTCGTTGTGGAAAATACATTTATTTGAGTGCCTACTTTTGCAAAGCATGAAGCTATATACAACTTGCATGTGTGGAATTATTTATATTCCCATCTTGTTCCACAAAATTTCTGAGGTGGCTTACAAGAAAAACAATAAAACAGCATAATATAAATAAATTAAGAAATAAGAACCAGGAAAAACACAAATT